CTTGCATGTTTTTTTGGGGGGGTGAAACACTGGCATCTTAATTGTAAAAAAAAAAAAAAAAAATCTAGCATGGCTAAAGGAAAATATTCAGAGGGAAAAGCTAGCTCCTGGCTCCGGTCTTGGTTGCATTCCTGGGACACAGGGTTTTCCAGCAGCTCTTGCGTGGTCGTCCCCTGCTAAAAAGCCTGTTGCATTGGAAAGGCGGGTGCCCACGGCAGTCAGGAGCTCTGATTCAGTGCAGGCTGACAGGTTGTTTTGGGGCTGCAAGGGGCTTTTTCTGAAGCGTGTTTTTTTCCTCCTCCTCGCTTGCTTTTTTTGCAGAAGTGGCGAGCGCGGGGCGGCGATGACCCGTCTGAGCCCCTCTCTGCAGTGGGACCTCGGCGGGCTGATGAGTGACGGCTTTCGGCAGGTTGAGGGCCCTTTTTCCACTTCCACAGATAGCTTTTTCCACTCTCAACGGTGGAAAATAGCACAAAGTGTGCCTGTGAGGAGCTGGCTCTTGTGACCAAAGCAACCAAATTCCCCCTCTCTGCTTTGCACCCTGCCTCTAATTTCTTTCTTTTTTTTTTTTTCCTTCATGCTTTTGTGTTCCAGCTCTTTCTTTGCAGCAGGGCTGGGATCCACCCTCCAGCCTTCTGCCCCCATCCATGGCATTCGACTCTCCTCCTCGGATCGAGGAGAACCGGGATGCATCCGAAACATTTTCCCCAGCACTAACAAAGCGGCGCGGCTCTGGAAGCAGCCTCCCGTGCTGCAGCCGTCCCCAGGATTTCACCTGGGGCTGGAACCAGAGCCTTGGGGAGGCAGCGGAGAGGTTTAATTTCAAAGGTCGGCTCAGGCAAATAGTTTTATTTACAGTTCTTTAGATTGTCCTGTTTGTTTCTCTCCACCTACGCCAGGAGAGGTGCAGCTTAATAGAACTGAAGTTGGTGGTGGCAAAGATGAAGATTCAGATGTTGAATTAAGCAGTTGCAGGAAATGTCTGTGTCAGTTCTTAGCTGGCAGAGGCTATAGCATGAGAAAAAAATTGTTAGGCTTTTTTTTTTTTTTCTTTCTTTAGGAGGAAATGGTTCCTTTCTTAGCATAAAGGATGCAGTTACGTGCCTGCAGCATCACGTGGGTTACAATCGTGTCTGCACCAGGAACTTCTGTCAGCTAATTTTCCCCCGCCCGGGTGCAAGGATCCGTACCGCATGCCCCCACGGCCGGCAGCCCCTTCTGCCGCCTGGAGGGCCCAGGGTTGGTAGCAGAACCCTGGGGCTTGCAGGGGTAGCCGGGACATGTCACCGACGTGACACCTTGTCCCGCTGCTGCCTTTTTTTGCCCACGTGGAGGGATCTCTAGTGAGGAGCTGCGTTGCTCTGTGCTTGCAGCCGCCCCTCCTGCAAGAGCCCAGTGCCCTGGGAAACTAGCGGGTTTCAAGGATTTTCAGGTGATGTAAACAGTTCTTCATGTTATAGCAGTTCCTCTTGCACCAACTCTGCTGGGATCCCAAATGCGGGATGGATGGTGCTGAGGCCTGGCCGGTGAGAAAGAGCTGACAGCAGCTGCCTGCGGGGGCTAAAAGCAAATGCTGCCCTGGGATGTACTCGGGACAGAAGGGCTTGAATTGCAAGGTCTTGTCATGCCCATCCCACTGCCTTTTTGTTCATCCCATTTTATTTTTCTCCCCACCCCCAGTCCTTCCTCCACCCTCATTCACCCTGAAACAAGTGCGTGGGTTTTTCCTGGGGGGGCTGCAGAGCCTCAGGAACAAGGTCACCTCCCGGAGGTGACACATCCAGCTCTGGGGCTTGCAGCAGGCAGCCCAGCAGCCACGGGGTGCTGGGAGGGGGGCAATTGCTGGGCTGTGCCCCCGTCTCTTGCACTGGGGCTCTGCCTGCCCCAAGCTGGCTGTGCAGAGCTTCAGGGTGGGACTGCTCATCTCTTTTTTTTTTTTTTTTTTTTTTCTCTTTTTTTTTTTTTTCCGGGCTGTGCTCAAGGGGAAGTGGTGCCTGCCCCACTCCACCTCTGCCCACCCAGACCCGCACTGCTGCTGCAAGCAGTGGGAAAAGCTTGCAGCAAGAAGCAGGAGTTTGGGTCAGCCTAGAGGGTGGTGGAAAACTCATGGCAAATACTGGGAGAGCCGTAACAGGCGAATCCAATCTCTGCCTCAGCTCCCCTGGCTGCAGGGCAGCATCGCGGGTGATTTTATTCCTGCAAGCATGGGCTGAGCTGGGTTTTCCGCTGGCGTAGGTGGCCCAGCCAGAGCCTGGGAGTGGTGGCAGAATACCTCCGGTTTAAATTGTGCTTTTTCAGATTGGAGCTGGGAAATACTTTTCGCGGCTAGGCAGGACGGGGTGGGAAGGGGATCGTTGCTGACCCAGGCGGTACGATGCTGGGAACTCAAGGGCAGCAGTTTGGGGGTACAGGGAAGTGGGGTGACGTGCAGGGCCCCTGTTATAGCAGAGTTCATAGGGGATGGCCAATGCGCAGAGGCAATAAATGACCCTCCTGTACTGTGCAGGGGGTTTGTAACGGGGAATCTCCGTGTCCCTTGCTGTCCCTCTAACCCGCGCTTGCAAATCCTCCTGCCTGCGAACTCGGGCTCCACAGAACAACGCTCCCTATTGATTCCCGACCCCAGACTGGGTGCTCCCAGCTCCTTCTGGCCTGGCTTTTGCAGCCAGGGCTAAGGAAGGGCTGACGCCGCAGCCTGCGGGACGCCTGGCTCCGGGAGCGTGTGGACCCTGCTCCTGCCCCGTGAGTCACCGCGCTGCGGCCGGCGCTGCCAGGGGAGCCGGCGGCACAGAAGGCGCTTTGTGCCGGCTGTGTGGGGTTACTATGGCAATTGGGGAGAAGGAGAGCAAACAGATTAAACAAAATACCAGCCGGAATGGGGGGCATTTCAGGGCTTCGTGTAAAGGTCTGGCTGGTAGCTGCTTTGGGGGGGCTGCGCGCAAACCGCTGTCTGCATTTCGGAGCAGGTCATGGAGGAGAAATGCTGGGTGCGAAGCTCCCGGTCAGCAGCGAGCTAAATCTGTCCCCCGGGATGGGATGGGATGGGATGTGTGAGCTCCCCGACCTGCCTGGGTGCAGAAGGACATTGGGGACCCCAGTTTTTAGGTTCTGTGGTCGGCCCCCCATGCTGAGTAGCGAGAGGCTGTGCGTGGGAAGGGGAGGCATTTCTGAACCCATGGATGGCATCTTTCCTTTGGCTCTGTTTTGCGTTTGCTTTCCTCGTTGCTCAACCGGGTATTTTGCAAAGTGTCATCAGTGGGCATGCTGGGCTGTTGATAGTCCCCCTTGCAGCCCTGCTAGATGGGTGATGGGGAAGGAAACTTTGCAGGCTCATGAAGTAGAAGCCGTGATTGCTGTGACATGGTCAGGTCTCCAGAGATGGTTTCCAGCCAAGCAGGATTGGTTTGGGGCGGAGCGGCTTGCTGGCTGGTTTCATTGAGCTGGAAGTTCGCATCGCTCCCGAAGCTCACGGGAATTGTGCTGGTCCCTTATGGGCCAGCTCTGATGCAGGAAAGGTGGCAGATAAGATGGGGATATGGACTGATCCGTGCCGATTCCCTCAGCAGGGAGGGATGCCGCTGGTCCAGCAGTTGGGACCTTTGCAGTATCTTGCAGACCAGCTTTCACCTGCAGCCTCAGTGAGGTTTGTGTTTGGGGGAGGACGGGACTGGAAAAGTGGATTTCAGGCACCTGTCTGAGCTGAGGCACCTGGAGCTGGGGGGGACACAGGGATGGGGACGGGAGCTGTCTGTGCTGGGAACGTGCTGGACGTGTATAGTCCTTCTGTCTCGCTGCTGCTGCTGCAGGAGCTCTCACACGGTGCTGTGTCTCCTGCTGAATTCCCAGCTCCTCGCCTCTCCCCTCCCTTCCCCGGCGGCCTTTGGAGTGCTGGACTTTGTCCGCACGCCTGTTCCCAGGAGCCAGGCAGGTAGGAGCTGTTTTGAAGCGGTGGCCAAGGCCACGCTGAGCCATCCCCTCCTAGCCCGGTGCCTGGAGCAAACATCACTCTTTGTGCTTTTTAATGCATCTTCCAGGTCCGTGCAGCCAGAAGCGCCTTTAACTGCAAAGTGCAGCTGCCCCCTCGTCTCTCTTGGGGGGGATCAGGACTTCGACGCTCTCAGCTGTATCACTTCAGCCCCCATCCCAGCCCCTCCGTGGTCTATTTATTTTCCCAGCAAGTCGGGGTAGGTGGGTGAGCTGTTTGCTGCTGGAGGAACGGCTGGGGCTTTGGCTGAGCAGCCGGGGGTCTGCGGCACAACAGGGAGCTGATTCTCAGCCCTGCGCAGGTCTCCTGCGCCCATTGCTGTCCCCTGGACCCCCACGCTGGTTCTCTCTTATCCCTGTGGTTTCATCTGCAAGTGTTTGGTCTGCCCTGGACCTGTCTGAACCCTGTTTCCCTCTGCGGTAGCGGGTTATGTTATCTCAGTGCCGTTTGGAGTTGGGGAGGAGCGGGAAGAGAGCATCCTCTCGCCAGTCACTCCTGATGGGATCGTGCCTTGTCTGGTGGGGTCTCAGCCTCTGCAAGCCTAGGTTTGTGGCCAGTTTGCTACTGGCTTTTATAGTCAGCTCCTGGTTTTGTCCTGGTTTCCCTTTGTTGGGTGTGGAGTGTCCCCTCTCCTGCTGGGAGCGACTCCTTGGGTTTTTCTTGAGGTTTGGTGGCTGTCACCCTCCGTGCCAAATCTAACCCACGCTACGGAATGGCTCTGGCTCTTCCGAAGAAAGCCTGGATGGGGGCTGAGGGGCTGTGGGGGCAAGGAGGAGCCGGACAGGGAGAGTTTTTCGGGAACCCTGGGCATCACTAATGGCGTGGGGACCTCTTGTGGCTGGAGAAATGGGGATCGGGCCAGCCTCAGCTGGGCTCCGGCAGCCCAGTCTGCCTGCAGCGTAACTGGGATATTGCTCTCCTTGGGCCGTGCATGGGATCCGTGAGGGATGCGGGGTTGGTACCTGGTGGGTCTGGAGCATGAAGGCTGAGCCGGTGTCTCCCTTCTCTCTTTCAGATTCCAAAGGATCCTTGGAGCCGCACAAACCAGGTAAGTGCCCAGCAGAAATTGCAGCTTTAACCCATGTCCTGAATATCAGCAATTAAAATCCCCCAAGAGAGGGGACTGTTAATGGCCATGAGGGGTAAAGAGCACTTTTGGGGTGTCTGAGGAGCACTGCAAGGCAGTGCTTGGCTGCAAGACTTGGAAAATACTCTCCGTCAGTGCAATCCTGGGTATTTCTGCAGGCAAATGCTCAACAGGGACATCGAGACCCACTTGTGCTTCTGGCTATTGCCTGAAATTTTGGGCAAATGGTCATGACCTCTGTGACCTTCTTGTCATCTTGCTGTAGCTGCAGTGTAGGGGATCCAGGCCCTGCCTCCCCTACCTGGTTGCTGCAGGCAAGAAGATGCTTGAAGGAAGAAAAGTAAGAATGCCAGTTGCTCATGTGTGCATCTTCTCTTCCAGCGAAAAGCAAGAAGAAACGGGAACTGAGGATAACATGTGTCCCCATCAAACAGCCCGTTGCCAACACAACGTAAGTGTCTCTGTTGCTTAAAGTCAGCCGGCGATTCTCTGGAGCTGGATTCAATGCCGTGTCAAGGGGAATGGCCCATGTAGACTTTACAGAATCAGGATAGTTAATTTTTTCTCTTAAGCTCTGGCTTCCGGGTGATGAGAAGGAATTACACACGTATGCGCATGTGCATACACACACATACACAGCGTGTGTCTCTCTGGGAGGTGCCTGTTTGACTTGAAATGACTGAAAGGCAAAGGCTAGGAGACTGCTGGGAGACTTCAGTCTTCCTGCCATGGCTGTGCCGGTGCCAAAGGGCAAAGGCGTGGTGGAGAGAGCAAATCTGCCCGAGGGAAGAAGAGGGAAAGGTTTTGAATGCTGGGGAAGAGAAGGGCTGGAGGCAGCTGGACCACGGCAGGAGCAGGGGGATGAGGGTTGGGGGATGCCCTGCCATGCAGAGCATCCTACCCCTGACCCACATGTGTGTCAGGGCTAGTTTGAGTTGTTTGCAGCTCCCTGCCTTGGTGCGAGGAGGACGTGGATGTCTTGCGTTGCTGTGCCGTGCACTGCTCAGTGCTGGGGTCCGGTGCCCAGCTATATCTCAGGGCACCGGAATTTCTCTCTGCCCCATTTATTTTGTGCAGCTGATGCTTGTTACGCTGTGGAGGAGAGCCCAGGGTAGTGGCACTTGGTTTGACAAAGAGCAGACGGCTTAAATTCCTCTTCCATGGTGCTCTTCCAAAACACCTTGGGCTGCTGCATCTCCACTACTGAGCCTTGTTTGCTCCAGAAACCCTTACTAAAGACCCTCCCAGCTCCAGGAAAGCAGTGAAATCCCCAAAGAAGAAATAACACTACCAAAACCCCAGGTAGATAGGGCAGATCTGCTGGAGGGGGAGCCAGGGGAACTCCCCCGTTAATGCTGTGCAGCCTAGCATGCACACGCCGAGCCCCGCATGCAACAGCCACCTCCTTCCCCCGTGGGTGCATCTGTCTCTGCTCCTATCGTTGTTTGAATTTCCCCTCGAGAAGGCATCGTGCCGGAGTTTGTGGGGCGCTTGCATGCCCAGAGGCTGGTGCAAGCTATCCACAGCTCCTTTTCAAGCTGCAGTGCAAATATTTGCGCAGTGCAAGGCTTTTGCTGTGAGCTTGAAGTACTTTCTTGAAGCCGGAGGTTGCCTTATTGCTCTGACAGGAATTGAGAGGCTAAACCAGTTGGGCAATCTCCACTCTTAGAAGGTCCTAGGGGTTGGGGAGAGCAGAGAAGCAAAGCACGAGGGACAAAAAGCTCATGTCGGCTCTAAAAGTACCATGTTGCCCATAATGGGAAGTGGGCAGCGATGAGGAAAAAAGCCATAAGGGAAGACTTTCGCCTGCATGGTGTTGTGCAAAGCGTGACACTGAAGTGCTGCCTGCTCTGCCTGCCACGCTGCCTGAAACAGGCCCGCGAGTGTACACAAATGACTCACGGGTGAGGAATTACCTGTTGTTCCCTCGGCGTGCGTTTCGGGCTACGTGGCTGTCCTGTTACAACACCTGCCTGTCAAAACATGACAGCTGAGCTGCTCTGCCACAGAAACGTCTCATCCCGTCGGTCTCGGTTCCTTGGGCTCATCTCCTGAGCAGGGATGGTTTCGTAGCCTGTTGGTTTGATGCACGTCTCGCCTAGCTGACTCTCTGGGGTTCTCGCTGCCTGCGTGCAGTGAGTGCCTCGTGGGTGTGGGTTGAGGTGTTACTGGCACGATTAAAGCATTTGTGTTTGGAGGGGGCTGGGTTGAACCCACGACAACAAGGCACGGTGGAGAGCAGCGGCTGAAAGTGCTCGAAGGAACGTGAAACCTGGCTCTGGCCAAGAGGGTTAATGAAGCTGAGCTTTCTCACGATACGCTCTCTTTTCTTGCAGGCCCCCGAGGAACTTGGACTCCAGAGCGTTCATTACCATCGGAGATAAAGTACGTGACAATGTGGTTTCTTTTTCGCTTGCTTCCAATTTTGTTTGCCCCATGTGTGTAGAGTTTCATGGATCATGCCTGACAACCTGTCAGATCACACCTTGAGATTTCAGAGCACCCCGTGAGAAGGATGGTGCCCTCCTGGTGCAGCCTCATGGGATGCATCTTTGCAGGGACGAGACATCCCGCAGCAGGACCTTTCCCCTGTGGAGCAATGGAGTGTCTGTGTGTATTTAGAGCAGTGACCGTTGGGGAGCTGAACATGTCACCCCGCCTGCAAGACGGCTCGTCTCTGAGCCTGAGCACTCGCTGGCTGGTCTCTCCTGCCTGCGGGCAGTCCCTGCAAGGCAGATGGGTGGCATCGGAGGCTAGCTGTGCAGTTTTGTCCGTAGTGGGAGATCACAGCAGTCCCTTGATAGCCCCGCCAGCCACCTGGGTCTGAATGGATGGACCCAGACCATCTGCCCGAAATCAGCGTGGCCTCATCACGCTCTCCGGCTGCCCCAAACAAAGTCCCCTTTGTCCTGCGTACCCGCAGGGCTGCGTTACTGCCTGTGGCCCAGGAAGAGCTGGGCACAAAGCTTCTCTCCGGCTCTCCAAAGATTTTCCTAGTGACCTGATGAAAAACACTGCTAGAAATAGCCGCTGTCTCTCTTTTATTTCATTCTCTTGTTACGGGCTCTCTTGGGGCTGCAGAAGGCTGTTTGCAAGCGAGCTAAAAATACCATGCATTGGATCAGCCCTATATCTAGCTGCTTACCTTCCAGGCTGGGAGGTGGCTTGGCTGATGGGATCTGGGTCCCTCAGCCTCAGGGCAAGGTTTTAGGGTTAGGGGAGAGGGGAGGAAGCTTTGGCCGGGTCCAGGGAACAATCCTGCTGCCTGTGCCGTTTTCTGGCCATTGTGTCGTGTGTATTAATAGCTCAGGGAGAGATGCTCTCTGTAGCAGCCTGGGCATGGTGTGTGCAAGGGGAGAGTGCTGTACCTTGGGGAAAGCTCTCTAGACTCCCTTCCTTCCCTGCTCTGCCTCCTCCGTTGTTTACAGGAGGGGACTGGTCCAGGTGTTTTGGAGTGACATGGTGGAGGAAGAGGGCTTGGGCAGAAGGCCAGCTTTAGGCTGTGGGGCTGGATGACGACCTCGGGTCCATTGGATCTGTGCAGGCGATGCCGTGTGTCCCATTACCAGGGGAGGGGAGCACCAGCTCCGTCGGTGCATCGCCTCTTGTTGCTGGGCAGGGCAATGCTGGTTCCTGGAGTGTGCTGGGAACCGCCAGCTTCTGGGGAAGCCTTAGGGTAAATGCCAGGAAAAAAACCCAAAACAATAACCTGGAACAACTGCAAAACACATGTCCTGAAAAGCACCACCAGATCCTTCCTGGAGGCCCCTGCAGGAGCTGCGAGCCTGCACTGCTGCTCTGCCAGCTTCCCGGGGCGGCGGGGTGTGGGGGGTTCGACATGTCCCCCTTAGCCCTGCTCTCCTCGTTTCTGCATCCACTGTCCTGCCCAGGAAAGGGCCGGCACCTTCCTGTGCTGGGCAGCACATAGCTCAGCGCTGAGCTCAGGCACAAGACCTCCCTTGCTCCCTGGCCTCGGCCGTCTGCCAGGCACATCTGGCTCGAATAAATGGAGCCGGGGCTGGCAGGAAGGTCCGGCAGAGCTGGTCGCTGCTGGCCGTGCCGTGGCCAGTGCCGAGGGGAGCTTGCTGGCCAGGAGCCCGGCAGCCACATCTCCCAGTTTGGCTCCTTAACGCCAAAGGCTGTTTCCTCTCCGCTCTGGGCGTAGCTCGCAGGCACGGTATCCGGCGCTGTGCCGTGCGTGTTTCCCACCCTCGCTGCCTTTGTGGCTACTGGGGCAATTTGGCATCCTGGTATTATTTTTGTTCCCTGAGACCGGAGGAAAACTGGAGGCTGGATAAAGCCTGGCTAAAAGAAGGCCTGTGACTTATTAGGAGCGATGAACGCAGCGTCCAAAAATAGCCCACGTCTCACTCAAACGGTTTGTGCCCTGCCCAGCAAAGGAGGCAATTACAGGGTAACGCGTCTTTAGGGAAACTTGTCTGTGGGTTGTGCAGGAGCTCGCTGGCTCCCTGCTGTGTGGGGCACTCGCTTGTCTGAGCACTGGCGATGGTTTTTTTCCAGCTTGAAGCGAGACTTATGTAGTTGCGCTTGCCTGAGCTCCTTTGCTGGTGCTACCTCATGTTTTACCTTGCTGGCTGCTTTCTGATGGTGGGAGAAAGTATCGAAAGTGGGTAAAACCCATTTGAGCTCCCCAATAATTAGGAATTGAGTTGCTGGGTTGCTGTGTGCACCATCCCATCTAAGAGAGGCTTTGCACAGGTGAAGGTGTTATTAGACACGGAGTTGTGTTTGTCACCAAAGATCTCTTGGGATGTGGGGCGAGGTGGGGGATCCCCGGCTGTGCACGGGGATTTGGAGCGGTGGCAGAGGCTCCTGACTGCTGCCCGTGTTGGCACAGGAGCTGTTAACATCCTGCAAATAGTTCAGCAACCACAGAAATACCCTTGTGTGGGTAATCCCAAGCAGGCAGAGAGGCACCAACCTTTGGTGCCCTTTCCAGTGGCAGCGTGCCCTGGCTTAAAGGATGAAAGTCCTGCTCTCTAGCTGCAGAGGGGGAATTAAATGAGCCCTGATGAGTACGGGGTGAGAGGGTTTGGGCTCTGGTTCAACAGAGCAAAAAATATACCCATCTTCTCTAAGCATGGTGCCCCTGGTACGTATAGGAGCTGGTGGAGTCCTGTAGGTACCATCAAAATGCTCTGCGTGATTAAGCTGCAAACGTTGGACCTCTGCTGACACCCTTGTTGATAAGCATGCTTGTATCTGATTTTTTTTTTTTTTTTTTTTTTGTGTCTCTCTCCCCAAAGAACTTTGAGGTGGAAGCTGATGACCTGGTGGCAATTTCAGAGCTGGGCCGTGGGGCCTACGGCGTGGTGGAGAAAGTCCGGCACGCGCAGAGCGGCACCATCATGGCCGTGAAGGTGAGGACGGCTGCTTGCTGAGGGGGATGGAGATCAAGATGTGCAGCTCCAAGGGAGTGGAGAGACTCTGCTGAGCTCCACCAGTCACGGCAAAATGGGGACAGGCTCAGTTTGGCAGTCTCTGGTATTCCTGGTGTGGTTTGGCTGTTGAAGGGTCTGCGCTGATACCAGCTGGGCACTGGGGGGGTGGTCAGCAGGCTTTGAAATCCAGGCTTGGTGCCCGCAGTTAGATACAGTGCGAGGTTTGGATGTCAGAGTGCTTGTCCAGGCTGCTGGCCTGATCCTGCATGCACTGCAGAGCTTACCAAGGTTTATCATTCATTAGGGTGCTGTCTGGAAAAGGGAATCTGGGCATCTCCTGGGTGCTGCTGGCTGCAAAATAAGCATAAAACGCTTGCCCTGGCCTCAGAACCAGAGGTCCTCTGAGTCAGATTGAGGGATAATGGTGTTATCCCACCTACGTCAAACCCCTCTTCTTTCATATTTGTCTCAGAGGATTCGAGCGACTGTGAACACTCAGGAGCAGAAGAGGTTATTGATGGACTTGGACATCTCCATGAGGACAGTTGATTGCTTCTACACTGTCACCTTCTACGGAGCCCTCTTCCGTGAGGTACTGAGCTGGTGGATGGCTGGTGGGCTCCGCAGCACCTGGGGCCTGTGCGATTGCGCTGAAGGCACTACGCTGTCCCAAACCAAAGTTTGAGATGCTGCCGTGACTTAAAGTCAAAGGCTTGCCTCCTTCAGGCAGCGTTGACCAGGTCCCATTCCTCACTTCCACGGCAGATGCCTGAGCACGGTGTCCATGGCCCGGACTGATTTTGAGTAGACTCTCAAAGGGAGACCATCGCAGGTAGCTTTGCTGGTACCTGGACATCTGTTGCCCATCGCTATCTAGTGCGGAGCCTCTGTGCTGGTGGCCATGGCCAACAGCAGCTGTGTGGCAGGGACCTTTGCTTGCCCTGTGTGGAAGGGACAGTGTCCAGTTGTCTGTCCATCCCCACCACTCCCTTCAGCTCCCCGGGATTTCCAGGGAATTCCCTCTCAACTGCTTTCTCTCTGTCTGCAGGGCGACGTGTGGATCTGCATGGAGCTCATGGACACCTCCCTAGATAAATTCTACAAGAAAGTACTGGAGAAGAAGAAAACCATCCCTGAAGACATTTTGGGGAAAATGGCCGTGTCTGTGAGTGCCTCTTGGGTTCTAAAGTGGTTTTGTGCATCCCCTGAGCCTGTTGGAGGTCTCTGTTGAGGCCTGCAGCATGTGGAAACAGGTGCTGTGTTTGCAGTGGAAGACTGGTGCCGTGTGTGACTAATGGGTACTCTTTTGCTCTGTTTGTCCCCAGATTGTACGAGCTCTGGAGCATCTGCACAGTAAACTGTCCGTAATCCATAGAGGTAGGTGCTGGATGGGGTTAGTGTGATGTTGCTGGAGATACAGCCTTGAAATAAATTACACGAGGACTCCTTTTCAGGAGATGCATGGTGTGTCACTGCCTACAGTGGGGTCTAATGGTACTTAGGACCGTGGTGGACAGATCTAGATGCCCAAGGCTTGTTCCTGAAATGTATCCCTCATGTGTCTGCTTGCATGATATTGTTCTCTTCCTCCTTTCCAGATGAAGGGTTGAATACAGTAACTGAATTCCTCACTACCTGTATTTTTATGGACATTTGTGTCTATCTCTGAGTACAGAGGTGCCTTGAAGGCAACTCTCAGGGGCAAAATCCCCATGCCTTCCAGGCTGGGTGGTTCTAGCAAGGTGAGGGACTGAAGGAGACCTTATAAAAATCAGAGACAGGAATTGTAACACCAAGGTCCTGCTCTTCATTCTGGTGTAGTTCCTTCTGTACTTGTGGACAGATCATGATGGGCATGAGACAAGCTGTCCCGAGAACTTGGTAGAGCTGGGCTTTTAAGACTGTGTTGGCCCCATAAACCTCTCCTAAGGAGCTGGGCATTAATTCCTCGATATTTTATTTCAACCTTTGGACCTGCCTCATTAGAGAGGAGGCCTGTTCTGCCTGGAGGGCATGGTTACAGTTTTACCTGTGACCAACTTTTATTGAAATAAAAGACTGGTGGGGTTTTGTCTCCGTTCCCTTGTGTTAGGGCCTGCCTGGTCCCCTCCCAGGTCGGCAGGGAGTTGCCCATCTTGTCTCAGGCTCTGCAATACCTCTGCAAAGGCCGATCTGCCCTCTTGTGTTCTCTCTCTTAGATGTGAAACCTTCGAACGTGCTGATCAACAAGGAGGGACATGTGAAAATGTGCGACTTTGGGATCAGTGGCTACTTGGTGGACTCGGTTGCAAAAACCATGGATGCTGGCTGCAAACCATACATGGCTGTAAGTGTGCTCATGTGGGACTGGAGCCGGCAGCCTTCAGCCTTGACTCGAAGAGGCTGCTGCTTGGAAATCAGTCTTGGTTCACCTCTGTCCTGAGACAGAAACCACTTCAGAGTGCTCTGGGCTTCCTGACTCAGCAGAGTTCTCCAAGGATGGGATTACCTTCCCTGTAAGCCCTGCTCTGTGTGTTAATACCGTAGCAGGCTCTTCCTCTGCCACCTTCCATTTGCAGAAGGGTAAAAGACTGGCTGGTGCTGGCTGTGGTGGTTGGAAGGGCTGCTCCTTGTTGGCTAGAAAATGCTGAGGCTTTTCTTGGCAGGATCATTTCATTTCATCCTCGAGTCAGTATGAATTTCCCTTTGCCATCTGTGGCATCTGTGTAGGTAGCTCATGCTCCTGGGACAGGGATTATGCTGCAGGGATAGTACAAGTCTCCCTCAGGAGCTGGAGGGGAGAGTTTGTGAGTTGTGTGGAGCAAGATCTGGCTTTCATCAGTGCTAGATTTAACCTCAGACCCTGCCCCCATGGGGACATGAGCCAGGGGAATCCACCCAACCTGGGTTTTGGAGCCAGAGATTTGCTCAGTGGGGTTTGCCCTGAGGAAATGAGATAGAGTTGTAATATCTTCCATTTTGCTGTTACAGCCAGAAAGAATAAACCCTGAGCTGAACCAGAAGGGCTACAACGTGAAGTCGGATGTCTGGAGTCTGGGGATCACAATGGTAATGCCAAGGGCTGGGACTGGCACCCTGCAGCCCTGGGGTTGGGTTGGGATGGGGTCTGCTCTGGCTGGGCTCTACCCCTGCCGTCAGCAACTAAATTCTGAGCGTGATAGCTTAAGGCATGAGATTACATGCCCTGGGCACAGGGTGGAGGTGCTGCCCAGTGCACACAGGGGTACCTCACCCAGGGCAGGTAGCTGTGAGCCGGTGTGTGCTCACCACTGCTGCGGCTCTTGCCGAGTTGGCTGGCAAGCTTGCCAGGAGATAATCCATTCTCTGCCCTTTCTCTTTCCTCCTCTCCCTTCTTGCTGGATCCTGGGGGATACAAAAAGGCCTGTTATTCCCACGTGGTTCCCTTGTACCCTTCCACTTGGTTTCACAGAGCTAGTTGTGTACAATGCCAGCTCCAAATAGCTCCACTTAGCTCTGAACTATGTTGATGTGGATGGCAGGCTCCCAGCGGGCACTATGTGGATGACAATGGGCTTAGTTGGGCATTCAGGAGTCTGACTTCTAATTGCTCTGCAGTTCCCTATGCGCTGGCTGGAGAGGTAGTTAGCGGAGCAGGGTTTGCTGCGGCGGGGTCACAGCTTTCCTGCGTGCAGCCCCCTCCCAGGTTACCAAAGCCTTGCAGGAGTATTGGGGTGAGTTAGCCTGCCCTGCTGCAGCCAGGGGTGCTGTGCATGGTTTGCAGCGAGTCCTGCCTGCAGCAGGACTTGCTGCAATCACAGCAGCCAACAGGAAGGGGAAATACTTTCAGTGCCAAAATCGCAGCTGCTCAGGATGGTTTATCTACCTCCTGCAAGAAACGGATCTTGCAGAAAGCAGCTGAAATCTTCTGGCGCCAGAGGACAAAGGAAATCCCAGCTGTTGGCTTGAAGGGGATGCCGCCTGGGAACGTGTCTCTCACTTTGCAGGAGACTGGCTCTCTGTGGGTAGATTATTTTCAGGAATTTTTCCTGCACCCTGTTAGCCGTGACCTTTGAGTGCTGCATCTCTGCATTTGTGTGCGCTGTGCAGATCTCTTAGGAAATATTCCCTCTTCCCCAGCTAGTTTTGTCTGCAGCGCCAAACCCAAGCCCCTCTCCTTCGTGTCTCCATGCCAGTGCAGAGCTGGGCTGGCTGGCTGGAAATGTAATCAGCTCCGGCTTTCCTCCCGAGATGCAGGAAGCTGTGGGATGGGAGATTGCATGAATGACGAAATCTCTCAACCTTTCCAAAGCTGGATGGGAGAGGGGACCTTGCTGAAAGCCTGCCAGCTTGCAGCTGAACGGAGCCCCGACCTGTCTGATTCCCTCTAATGTCTTCCTCCTGGGCTGGCTTCCTGGTTTTGGTTTTTTTTTTTTTTTTTATTTCTGAAGAGGATTGATTTATTTCAGACTGGCTGGTTTTAGGGCCATTGAGTTACAGGGCTAATCCAGGCCTTTCTGGGCTGGTGGCTTCATTCAGTTTTCCAGCAGCGGGAGCTGAGCTTCCCCGACCCGAACCAGAGGCGGGTGGGGGCATCTGGCTCTGCCCCATGTCCTTTCAGGTTTCTTATTCCTCCCATCCTGTCCCACCCTGGAAGGCAGGTCTGGAGGTTCTGTTGCCCATTTCGAGATGGGAGCTGACCCTTGGCATGAGGAGACTGCCCAAGAGCTGTGATGGGCTTTTTCCTGCTTGAATGGGTGATGGAGCAGAGGTGACGTGTAGGAAGGACCCAGTAATTGAGGTGGTTTTGGCAAAGATCTTCATAAGTGATGTTCTAGCACTTGGTTTTTCTTGGGTTTGTGGAATTTTTTTTTTTGCGTCTGGCTCATATAGTACTAACCTGAAGCCCAGAGGCTGCCTTATGGCGAGCAAAGCACTTTGGAAGCCAGTGCAGAAACGGTGTGCTGTTATTATTATCTTTTTAAATAATCCCATTTTACATACCTTTGGCGGCTTCCCCTAAATGCATTAATATGCTGAGCCAGCCTCAAAAGGAAGTATTTTTGGCCTCTGGGTCTTTGTATGTAAAAAAAAGAGAAAAAAAAAAAAAGTGGTATGACCCAAATTGAAAATGGTTTGTAAAGAAAGAGGTTTTTCATTTTGAATCTGAGCTGGCTGAGGTAGGCAGGCTGCGTGGGGTCGTGCTCATCCCAGTGTCTCACGTCAGCCTGTCTCCATCCTCAGATCGAACTGGCCATTCTTCGCTTCCCGTACGAGTCCTGGGGGACCCCGTTCCAACAGCTCAAGCAAGTGGTGGAGGAGCCCTCGCCCCAGCTGCCCGCTGATCGCTTCTCCAAGGAGTTTGTGGACTTCACGGCACAGTGGTGAGTCTCTGGCAGGGACTGGTGGCTTCTCCCAGCCCGGCTGAAGAGGAGCCCTGATCTGTGGGGGTTGGAGCAAAACGTGGGGCTGGCTTTGTCATCCTTTCAGAGCCCATTCCTCCCCATCTTGCCGTACCGAGGCTGGTGCTTGGCCATGGCAGGAAACGCTGCCTAAACTGGTTTTGCTCTCGGCTTGACTCACCCAGGCTGGTTGGAAGGCACAGAGGTTTCTCTTCCCCTTCTGCTGTCGCTGCTGCTGAAATTTTGGTGGTTTCTGGCAAAGAGGCAATGAAACGAGAACAAACCCCTGGCAGCGTCTGGGTACCACTGGGTGAAAGCCGATTTGTGGTTTTGTGGGTAGCTGCTCCCCTTGGGGTGTTCCTTTGCTCCCTGGGTGCTGCTTGGAGTTGCCAGGCAGAAGTGAGCCCACCAAGGCAAGGCTCACCCTACGGGTGGTGGGAAACCATCTCTTCTCCCCTCCCATTTGTTCTGGTCTGTGCAGACAAGCAAGGTTGTGCGGGGCAGACAGCAGCGAGCTGCTTGGCTTGTGCTTTTTGTGGCAAAACGCTATGAGTTGTGCTTTTCCAGTTACCTGCCTGGCCGCTTTGCTGGTGGTTCAAACCTGCTCGGCTGAGGAGGGAGGGGAATGGGTGCTGCCCACGAGAAGGATGTCATGTTGGCTGGGAAGGGGAGGGGATCCCTTGTGTCAGACCACATATAGGGAAAAAAAAAAAAAACCTACAGCCTTTCTCTCCTATTTTTTTGTCTTCCAGCTTAAGGAAGAACCCCGCTGAGCGAATGAACTATTTAGAACTTATGGTAAGCGTGAAGCCATTTCTGCTGGTCTTTATCGCAGTGTGTTTTCAAAAGTCAAACAAATGGCCCAGCAGGCCCTAGGAAAATGGGACAACAGGATGTGTGGGTGATTTTTTTCAGGCATGGAGCGGGATGGGTGTAATGTGTCTAATGTGGAAGGGTGTGTTGATTTCATGGGTGGTAAAGTCAGGGTTTCTAGGTGTTTTCTCCCTCTGTGTTACCTGCTCTTGGTGAGTTTAGACCTCAAATGGTGGTCTAACCCCAAACCCAAGGTGGGCTGTCCTGCTGGGGTTGAACCTAGAAATGCCAAACCTGAAAGTGTTAGTTAATCTTTAAGCTAAAGGATGGCATCTGTGGGAGCCTGGGGAGGAGGTTGGTGTCCACCTCTCCAGAAGCACCTTGCCAGCTGCGCGACATCCCCCAGGGACTGCTCTTGGGCTTGTCTGTCCTTGGGTGTCAGCTGATGTCGTCTCTGGTCTCGTTGGCAGGAACACCCTTTCTTTACCTTGCACGACACCAAAGAGACTGACATGGCCTCCTTCGTGACAGAGATCCTCGGGGAAGACTCCTAACTTAAACCTCATGGCTTCGTGCAGTCCCCTCCATCCTGGCTTCCCTGCAGAAGAGCAAATGAGGACTTGAGTTAATGGTGGTTTGCACAAATCGCACTTCCCCCAACCCGTGGGCATCTCTGGCCCCATCTGGCCTCGCAATCTCTTTTTCTCTTTGCCCTCTAAACGAAATCCCCCAGGATGAGCCTTCTGAAGCCAACACCTTTCCAACTAAGCCACGGAGACCGAAGGCTCGGGAGTTCCCCGCTGATGCCAGCGTATCCCTCCCGGGGAGAGGACTGTGCCTGTGGCACCCGAGCAGGGCCAGGACAGAGGGTGCCGGCGGGCATCTCCCCTCCCCGGCAGCCTGGTGCACAGCGCAGGGGATATGTGTTTCTCTGCTGCCTGGGGAAGGCGGAGAGAAAAAATGCTGCTGCGCTTGCCCCACTCTTCTCCCCTGCCTGCCCAAAGCCCCTTCCCCAGAGTCTGGTCTTGCTCATCTTCCCTTTGTGCCTGGCTCTATGCCCCCAGGAGCCCATGCGGCTTTTTAGGGGGCTGTGGGGCTTCATGGGCACACCGCCGTTCACACCAGAGGCTGTTTTAATGCCTGACTCGACATCTTAACGACCTTTCGAGGCAGCACCAGACTGGGTGACCCCCTCCCTCAATCGATACGTTGCTCCCTTGCAGGGAGGAAAAAAAAAAAAAGGGGGCATTTTTCGATGAGCCCACCTTGGCACAAGCTGCAACCCGTGCTCTCCCCACGGGATTTCATCCAGCACACAGTGCTCCCTTCCCCACGTGGGCACAAGGTGATGGAGAGCGAAGCAGGTCCCTGGGCACTGCATCTCTCCCCTCCAGCCCTGGGCTGGGAGGACACATCCATCCTCCGGGCACCTAACACCTTTTACAGCCCCTGCCTCCACCTTCCCTGGCTCCTGGACAAGTCGTTGCTCCGTCTCCCTTCCAACCTGGAGCTCACGCAGGACCTCGCACTGTGACAGCCGCTCGTTTCGGAGGCCGTACTTGCATCCTTCGTGTCCCAAACTGCCTTCGAAGCCTCCAGCTGCCCACCGAGGTGTCAGCCAAGATCGAAACCCCAGTGACTTCGCCCGGGGGCTGCCGACAGTTGTACATTTTATGTCTATATATAATGGACTTTGTAACATGTTTCCTAGTTTTAATCTAACTTGCTATAAATTAAAGCCCTTCTGCGTGGGAGGAGGGAGGAGCAGTTCCTTCTCTGCTAACAAATCCACTGTGAAAACCTGATGTGTTTCCCCACTCTCCCAGCCTGAGCGCTCTGCAAGGAGCTATGGGAGCAAAAGGGGTTTCTGTCTTCTACTGTATATGATCACGGGATAAACGCACCGGCTGTGGATTTTGTTGTGTTTTTTAATAGATTGACTTTTCAGAGGGATTTTTTTTTCTTTTCTAATATATATTTGTGTGTGTGTATGTGTGTGCGCAATATATATATTATATATTTTTAAATCAATGATGAATGTGTGAATGTCTATGTGGCCAGCAGATTTGGTGAAATGGCTAGTGTTTTTCTGGCTAAATTTGGGGCGGTGGGGAAGGGGTCAGTAGAAGGCACCCTGGCTGAAGACTTTTTTTTTTTTTTTTTTTTTAAAAAGAAGTGCATCTATTTTTTAACTGAACCTTTGAAAAACGTTCTTCCTGAAATTCATGCCCTGGAGGTCTGGATTTCAGGGTGCATTTCCAGCGTTCAGGGTCCCCCACCCCATGAAGAATGATGTCCCCTGAAATTCATTGCTCCCCACTCTTACAGCCCGGGGTTTGAAGTGGCGCTGGGGACCCTCTGCCTGGGAAGGGGGCTGCTTGACATCATCGATTCCTGCGAGAGCTGCTCCTGGGGGAAGCTGCTTCAGGGCAAAGGGTTTTCAGTCCTTCATGCCCCCGTCCCAGGGCATCATGCAGCAGCACTTCCCCCCTGCCCCATCACTGCCCTGATCCCCTTCCCTGAGTCACCAAACCCCGAGAGAACCAGCCCAGGCTGAGCTGGACAAACCCTGTTCAGCTTTGGTTCGACCCTGACCCCTCTCCCCACCTCTTTATGTAAAATAAGAAAGTGATTGATGTTCTCCACATCTCCCTCCTTGATCCCACTCTGCAAACCACCCGACGCTCTCTGGGAGCATCCGCACCCTTACCCGCTTGGTTTGATGGCTTTGCAGCTGAGATGTATAATTGTATTTTTTTTTTTTTCCATAGTTGGTTACTTGGGATTGTTTTTTTGTTTTGATGTTGAGCTTTTGTTTTTTCCCTTCTCTCCTTGTTTCAACTCCTTTCCCCTTCCTTTATCTCACCCGTTTTGGTGCTTTGGGGAATGGTGATTTTTTTTTTTTTTTTTTTGCATGTGTTTGTGTTTGTTTTGTTTTTGCTGCATTTCTTCTCCTAGAGAAAGTTCTGATTCCTGTATTTTGGGCAAAGGGAGCATCTGCCCTTCCAAACACTGGGGTGATGCCTCTGGGGTGGGCTTGGGACCCTGTGAATGAAGCAAGGCTTTGCTGAAGAGGCAAACCCAACGCTCCGCTTCATTCCACGTGGGTCTTACCCGTTCCCCCTTTTCCCATCCCATACTTTCCCGGCCTGTCCTGCTGCGTCCCCTCTGCCGTGGCGGGGGCGAGCGGCAGCCCTGGGTGGACAAGGTGGACGAGGATTTTGAAGCCCCCCTCTAACCTTGTATTTTTGAGAATGGTCTGTACCCGTTAAACCCCCAGGCATTTGTTTTCAATAAAATTCACCCTCAAACCTGCTCCTTGTTCCTTCTCGTTGCTGTTGGAGCATCGGCGTTGGGTTGTTCAGGCTCCTGAGCCCACCAGGGATTTTGGGGGGGGG